CGATATGTTGTCGAAGACTTTCACGGCCAGAGTTCATTAGCTGATTTTTCCAGGCTGTATGGCCGTGGTCTTGGCATTGTAGGGCCTGATGTTTCGCCAGCAGCTCAAGATCCAAGTTTCGTTTATTGTCTTAGCCATTGGCCATAACAGCACAAAGTAAATCAAAGCACAACAGAAATATACATCAATAACTTGCAGTAAGTCCTAGACCCTCTCTTATCTTTTTTGCTGCCAGTGCAAACAAAGCCATTCTGCTAGTAACATGTGCATCAGTATCAGAAAGCAAGAACACGGTCAAATCCTGCTCAGCAGTTCCATTATACAGAGGTACAATAGGATAAATAAACCTTTGCCTAAGTGATTCGTGCCAGCAGCTGTGACTGGCATCCATCTTCCTGAGTAGATAGAAGTTACCTGCCTACCATTTTTCTTCTCACCTTGGCACAGAGAGTACTCCATCTTTCTGTGTTCTACCTCTGAGGATGCCAGTCACAGCTGCTGGCGAAATGTCAGGTCCTACAATGCCAAGACCACGACCATACAGCCCGGAAAATCTACAACAGCTAAAGTTTTCAGTTCCTTTGGGGGTCCCCCCCCCCCGTAAACTTTCTGTTTTCATTTCCTTTGGGGGCCCCCCCCCCCCGTAAACTTTCTTATTTCATTTATATCCTGCCTTCTCCCCAATGAGGACTCAAAGCTACTTACGGCATTAACTTCTTCTCTTTTTCTAATAACAACCCGGTGAGGTAGGCTGTGCTGAGAGTGAAGGACTGGCCCGGGGTCACCCAGGAAGCATCTGTGGCGGGGATTCGAACCTGGGTCTCCAGGATCCTTAGTCCTGCTCTGCAACCACCGCACCATGCTGGCTGTAACTTCGTGGAGATGTGAAAGGGGAAGGGAATAAGTACATGCTCTGTTGTTGAGCCCAGGCTAGCCTGATGTTGTCAGATCTCGGAAGCTAAGCAGGGTCGGCCCTGGCTGGTATTTGGATGGGAGATCTCCAGGGGAAGACCAGGGTCATGACGCAGAAGCAGGCAAGGGCAAAACCACCTCTGAAACATCTCTTGCTTTGAAAACTCTACGGGTTTGCCATAAGTGACTTGAGGGCACTTTCCACCACCATACTCTTGGTCTAGGGCAAGCGGATGCTCTGTATTCTTGGTGCTTGGGGGGGCAAGAGTGGGAGGGCTTCTAGTGTCCTGACCCCACTGGTGGACCCTGGTATTTTTGGCCATTGTGCGACAGAGTGTTGGACTAGATGGGCGATTTGGTCTGATCCAACATTGGCTTCTCTTATGTTCTTACCGCACCACGAACCTTATGAACTCAACCGGTTCCTTTGGTTCTAGAGGTCCATCAGTGGCTATTAGCCACAAGGTATGGATAGGGACTCTCAGCCTGGGGCAAGGGATGCTCTGTATTCTTGGTGCTTGGAGGGGGGGCAAGAGTGGGAGAGCTTCTAGTGTCCTGACCCCACTGGTGGACCTCCTGATGGCCCCTGGTATTTTTGGGCACTGTGTGACACAGAGTGTTGGACTGGATGGGCCATTTGGCCTGATCCAACATTGGCTTCTCTTATGTTCTTATGTAGTTTAGTTTTTACAAGCATTATTCCAACAAAAGTAATTTCCTTGAATTTGTATGAATATAACATTTAAACCACCACTTCACTTTCCCCCTTCAGTTTATTTGTAGCTATTGAGACATAAAATTAGCATTGGGGTACTTTTAAAAATGTTGTATACTAAACAAAAGTCACAGTATGGTAAATCAGATCATACTCTATTTAGGCATGATTCTGATACATATTTTTTTCCCCCGGGAAAACTGCATAATTGGCTCTTTCAATCCCTGCCACTCTAATCTGTGTATGACAGTTTTCAGTTCTACCCCCTTTTCCCTAACAACTGAAGGAAAGCTAAGGAAAAAGGCAGTAGTGTACCACTCACTAAGCCAGGTCAAAACCCTTTGGTTTTAAGACTAAAGGTGGAAGAAGAAGAAGAAGATATTGGATTTATACCCCGCCCTTCACTCTCAGTCTCAAAGCGGTTTACAAACTCCTTTCCCTTCCTCTCCCCTCACCATGTGAGGCAGGTGGGGCTGAGAGAGCTCTTTCGAGGACTGCTCTTGAGAGAACAGCTCTGACAACTATGGCTTGCCCAAGGTCATCCAGCAGCTGCAAGTGGAGGAGTGGGGAAATCAAATTGGTTCTCCCAGATTAGAGTCTGCGCACTTAACCACTACACCAAACTCGTGTAAATGAGTTGACGAACATGGCCTGTCCAACTAGTAAAGCCTTCCAGAATTTGGAGGCTAAGAGAAGGGAATGCAAATTGAAAATGGGAGCATGTGATTCAGCATTAAAAGCACACACACACACACTTTATTTTTGAAGCATTCTGTTTCCCGTAGATAAAAATCTCCTCTTGGAGTGCTTCTTAAGGAAAACTTCTTGTCATTCTTATGGGAAGCATTTTAAAGCATAAAGGGCTTACCTGCTCTGCATTTAAAAAAGAAGAGAATGGTGCCAGCATTCTAACTGTGTCAGAGGATGGAGTGAAGCTTAATTAAATGCTTCTACAGCATATTAAGATCCTGGGATAAAAGTCCATGTAAATACAGAACCATCTTCTCTGTAGCAGGTGTCTTGATTTGCACAGTGTTTAAGATGGCAATTGTAAGCATCTTAATCACTAGCTTAGCTTTATGGCCTGTTTTGTGATTCATTTAATAAGTATTAAGCCTGAACATTATGTCTTTGCTGTTGACTGCCAAATCTTCTCTACCTGAAAGTGTTGAACTCAGAAATTCAACAAGTTGCATGATTTCCTAAACGGAAGTATTTCTTCACCCAAAGAGTAATTAATACGTGGTAGTTCACTGCTGCCGGAAGTGGTAGCAGTTTACAAGCATAGATAGTTTCATAGATAGGGATTGGATAAACATATGGAGCAGAGGTCTATCAATGGCTATTAGCCACAAGGTATAGAAGGAAAACTCAGTTTGGGGTGGTGATGCTCTGTATTCTTGGTGCTTGGGGGGGGGGCAACAGTGGGAGGGCTTCTGGAGTTCTGGCCCCGCTGATGGACCTCTCCTGATGGCCCCTGGGTTTTGGCCACTGTGTGACACAGAGTGTTGGGCTGGATGGGCCACTGCCCTGATCCAACATGGTTTTTCTTATGTCTGGGGCAGTGATGTTCTGTCTTCTTGGTGCTTGGAGGGGAGGGCAACAGTGGGAGGGCTTCTAGAGTTCTGGCCCCACTGGTGGACCTCTCCTGATCGCCCCTTTGGCCACTGTGTGACACCAAGTGCTGGACTGGATGGACCACTGGCCTGATCCAACATGGCTTCCCTTACATTCTTGTGTTCTTACGTGGACTCAGTTATGTTGCGTGTCCAAGGTTTCAGCCCTGTCTGCAGTAAGGCTGCTCAAATTACGTGTGTTTCCATAAGATTTTAGCAGCCTAACTGCATACTAGACTGTAGCCTCGTGGAGAGTTCTTCCTCACTTTCCAGATGACGTAACCCACGTTCTGCATTCAGGATAAATGTTACATGCTAAGTGAATTTGCAGTGACTGCATTACCTTATACTGGGGATCCCCAGCATCGTGCCCACGGGTGCCTTGTTTCCCGTCAACATATTTCCCGGTGCCGGCCGAGGGTTTTTAGAAAGTGGGCGGGGCCGGGCGGGGCTTTCCCCCCAATGTGTCTTCTGGCTGGCTTCGCAGATTAAAAGGCATCCCATTAAACAGAGCTTATGCCTGAAGGGTTGAAGAGTTACAATTAGACATGTCTATAGACTCAATCCCTGACATGTGATGGTCGGCCCCGCCTTCTGTAGCAGCCATTTTTGTGATTGCGCCCGCCGTCTTTTGTCAGAATGACAAAGGATGTCTGCTGCCTTAAAAAGGTTGCGGACCCCTGCCTTATACCTTAGGCTGCTTCAGCACAAAGGCACAGGCTTTCCGTGGGTGTAAGGGCTGCCACCCACACAGCACGACCCTCCCCACCTCCCTCCCCTGGCATCCCGAAATGCCCCCTGAAATCCTTTTCCTGGGAAAGATGGGACCCATGGGGGAGGGGACATAGGCAACTCACACTCCACTTGCAGAACTCATCGTGCTCTCAGAGATGTTAGGGCTTTTCAGCTATCTCATTTTATTCGTTCTGAAGTTCCTGTTTCTTTGGGAGTTTTTCCTCTTCTGCATGCTTTGCTCCCTCTGTTGGTTGATTCCGACATAAAACAGTGTGCATAAAAGGAGTGCGCACGCACACGAAAGCTTATGCCCCGAATAGAAGTTTGTTGGTCTTAAAGGTGCCTGTAGACGCAAACTTTGTTCTCTTCCTTCAGACCAACACGGCCACCCACCTGAATTGAGGTTTATTTCTAGTTTATTTCCTTGTAGATTTAACCCGCAGGGAAGTAAACCTGTTTTTACGTCGAATCGTCCACTAGCCGGAGCAAAACATGGGCGGAACAAGACACACCCCCCCCTTCCGAGAAACAGGGACTTAACAACGAGTAAAATGACAATGCAGAAAAGCCCTTTAGTCTGGATCAAAGTCAGGAGCAGGATGAATAGAGAATGATGTCCTGTGGATGCACATTTAAAAAGTGCTGCCGTAAGGAAGCCAAGCTGGGGCAGAGCATCTTTCCAAAACAGCCCTGCTCCTTTTTCAGGATTGGGGAGGAGATGGAGCCAGGTGAAGAGAATTAAGATCTGATCATGTGAAGAGAGCAGAAGCCAGAAGGAGGAAAGAGGACAGGGCAATAATCGTGCCAGAGCTCTGTCTTTGGTTTCTAAATCTGCAGCCACCCTAGCTAAAGTTGTGAAGGCGAACCCGTGAACGGCTAGAAAACGTGCATGCCTCCTTGCAGTGAGCCACAGCTATGGCATGAACATTCAGATGCTTAGGTTTCTGTATCTGTTTCCAATTGGAATGCGACCTTAAATAACGAAGGGGATACTTCCTAAATGCTCCTTCTGTCCATTGCAGAGGAAAATTTGCTGTGGTTAGAAAATGCGTCGCCAAATCTACCGGCCAGGAATTTGCAGCGAAGTTCCTGAAGAAGAGGAGAAGAGGCCAAGAGTGCAAAGCAGAAATCCTTCACGAAATCGCTGTGCTGGAGCTCATGAAGGCGAGTGCCCGCGTAGTGAACCTCCACGAAGTCTACGAAACGACACATGAGATCATCTTAGTGTTGGAATAGTAAGTACATCTTGTGTCACCTTTGGTCGATTAACCACTAATGTATGTAGGGTTGTTTTGCATAATAGCCAGAAATGCCACTCCTTGGCTTTGGATCTTCATTCTTTATCATGAGTTATCAGCAGCTCTAATATCATTGATCTGCGACTTGCTGTCAACCCGAGAAATGAGTAGACTTTTTATATGAGTTGCTATAAAAATAAGCCTGCCATGTATGTCAGTATTCAGTCTCATGAAAATGATAGGGGGAAATGCACTGTTACAAAAATGCTGCGTTCATCATCTTCTGTATCATTGTCCTTCAGTGGTGTAGGAGACAAGAGGTGTCAGATGGGTCACGTAGCTATCAAAAACAATTAAGAGATATCCCTAGGGTTGCCAGATCCCCCCGGCCACCAGTGGGGTGGGTGAGTAGGGTTGCTAGATCCAGGTTGCAAAACTGCTGGAGATTTGGGGATGGAGCCCGGGGAGGACAGGGACCTCAGTGGGGTACATAATGCCATGGAGCCCACCCTCCAAAGCAGCCATTTCCTCCAGGGGAACTGATCTCTGGAGTCTGGGGATGAGCTGTCATTCTGGTGGATCCCTAGCTGTGATTCTGGCTGGCATCCCTAGATCATCCCAGGCAGGAGTTCTCAGCTACTTCCTTACGATTCCAGGCACTCAGCCGAGGAGGGCACGGGCATGTGCAAAAGGCTTTCTCAAGATCAGACCTGATGTGATATCTGAGGTTGTTTCAGAGGCTCCTGAATTGAATCCCTTCTGCATACAGGGGGGAAGTCCATGTTTTAGCAGTTCTCTCCCATCTGGATTTACTGTAGACAGGCACATTATTCACTGGGCAGTTGCAAGACGCTGCTGCACTCCTCCTTCCATTTTATTATGAAAGAGTTGTCAGTCCCGCTGTTTGAATAGAACATCAGAGTTCCGCTGATCTATTCTGTGGTCCTCTGTTTCCTTCCGCACTGGCGCCAGAAGGTTCTGAGGCAAAAGCCCCCACCTGTTGCTCCGCTGGTATCTACGGGCTGTTTCTTCTCCCATTCTGTCATCGCGACTAATTGACATTGATGGACCTTAACCCCCTTTTAAAGCCACCTCAGCTAGTGGCCTTCACCACATCCTGTGGCAGAGAGTTCCACGAGTTCTGCATCGTGTGAAAGAAGTGCATTTGGCTATTCTTAGTCCCGCAAATGATTATTTGGGGGTTGATGTTCCTGTCTCATAATGTTCACCGGAATTTCTGGGTGAAGTCCTGGCCCTCCAAAGAGCCCTGCGCTCCTCTTTGTGGCTGAAAGGAAAGGCTTCAAGGAGTTAAAATGTGGTAATCCCCATATTTTTGACATTCCAAAGATTTTCTTAGTAAAACATTTGATAGAAACAACCACCACCACCCCGGCGTAGGCATGTAGTCCTTTTCATTTATTTGGCCCTATTTTGTTGTTGCTCTCCTTTTCCTTACATGTTCTTTCCCGAGAACCATATTTGCTTTCAGAAGATAGATGTAATGTAGCTGAAGATCATATAACAGCTAGTTTTAATTTGAGAGTAACTTCACTGATGTGAGATAGATTCATGCGTATGCACACGGAAGCTGATGCCTAAAATAAAACTTAGTTGGTCTTAAAGGTTCCGCTAGACTCGAACTTTGTTTTACTGATCTGAATGATTGTCCTAAATAAAGAATGGTCTGCTTAGTTATTTTCTTCAAAAGTCATTGTTGTTCACAGCTTTTTTTAAACAGATGTCAGGGTGACCAGTTCTGTGACATGCCACATTCTTGGGTTCTTCTGAGCACTTCCAGTTAAGTGTGATTTCCATCTTTGCCACTCTTTTAAAAAGTTCATCATTAACTCTGTGTCACACTTGCCCATGATAAATGTATTGCAGACTTTCTAGCCTGTTATCTATGTATGCTGTGGCTGCATTAATCATGCACGCGCACGCATGCATGCACCCTGTCCTGCATTGAGCATGGTACGTAAAACAAGTCATGATTTAGTCAACGTCCAAGAAGTCTTCCAAGTCACTTCCTTCACAAGGCTTCACAGGGAAAAGTGAGAGACGTCTCAGTTGCCCTTGTTCCATTTGGCAGAGGACTCAGAGGGCTAGAGACCCTTGCTTGCTGATTAATTCTGGGCAAAAGAGGAAAGTGACCTCACAGCAGGGGTCATTTCCT